GTGCCCCAACTCCCCAATCGGCCCTGCTCTGAGCCCTACCAGGGGCTGCACCTAGGGATTGGGCCTGCCCTCTGCCACCCGGGAGCAGGCCTAAGCCAGCAGGTCGTTATCTCCCGAGGGGTCCCAGACTGTGAGAGGGCACAGGCCAGGCTGAGGGACCCCCCCTCCCCCACGAGTGCACAAATTTTTGTGCACTGGGCCTCTAGTTATATATATAAAGACACAAGTAAAGCAATCAAAGAAGAGAGGCACCATTATGTAACATAGAGTAGTTTGATGAAAAGTTCTAAAAACAGGCGATATAAATTTTACTCCCTACTACAATACCTTGAATATGTTTCTTTCCTTTCCTGGCCATCAGTCTCTCCATAATAAAGTCTCAGAAGTAAATAGAAGGAAAGACAAAGAAAGGTGCATGAAATAATTTTTAGGTTCTATCCAGATCTAATAATTCAAAAACACTGCTAGAAAAATCACAGGTGAGTCCTTACAAACTGGGTACTGCTGTGATTCTTTCGTAGCCGCATTGTCATGTTGGTGCAGGGCTCTAAGCTTTGACTCAAGTCCTTCTTGGACAATGTTGATATCACTTACCCATCTCCTCTTGGTTCCTCCTTTATCATAACAGTGTGGGTGTATATGATGTCTCTTTATCTAAAAGGGTCAGAAAAAAATTTAAAAAATAAAGAAATCTATTCTCCATCAGGATTAACAAACCATCTCTCCCACAATACTTTAGTACTTTATCCCTCATACGTTATCACTCAGCCTATTAAGCTTCACACCTTTCTTCCTTAAAGTCTTATTCTTGGCCATGAGGCCCAAGCCCTTCATCTTGGGACCTGCCCCATAGATCTGTAGCTTCTTCAATGCTGGATTCTTCTCAATATCCTCCTCTGTGGGCACAGGCTATTGAAAGAATTTTTTTTTTTTTTAAAACAAACGTGAGTTTTATAGATAGAAACATAAAAGCAAAAGACGTCATATTAAAATCAATCAATTGTTGCCCTAGCTAGTGCAGCTCAGTTGTGATTGGAGTGTTATCCCCTTCTACTGAAAGGTCACAGGTTCGATTTCCAGCCAATGCACTTACCCAGGTTTCAAGTTCTCGTACCGGTGGGGGCATATATAGGAAGCAACCCCTGGATGTTTCTCTCTCACATCAGTGTTTCTCTCTTTCTTTTCCTGCCTCTAATTATTGATTTAAATCAGTAAATGCATCCTCAGATGTGAGTAAAAAAAAAAAACCTAATCAAATGTCTCCACCCACTTTTAAAGGTTTACAGTGTACTAGTAATTTCACCTGGGGAGTAAAGTATGGCTAAGCAGGAACAAATGAACAGAGAAATATGGAAGGTTAATTCCTTTTCTCAACTGTTTTCATGTTATAAAGGAAATGATAGAATGAATATGCCTATGTTTGCAAGACTACTAGGCTTAAATATTATGAAGTATATAATTTATGCTAGAGAATTTAATATATTATAAACAACTCCATTTCTGCAATTGAGTTAAAGATGCAAATATTCTGTTTGGAACTCAGATCATTACAGTAACTCCTTTCTCCTCAAAATGTAATCAGAGAGACCTGAGAAATGAAAAATCATTTTATATAAAAAATTACATATATCATATTACAACATTTTCACAATATATCTCTTACTGGAACACCATGAGACACATTTTTTAATCTATTCTTCACATAGCTTTTGTTCTACTTTTAAATTAAAGCACTATTACCTTTCTACTTTTCATTTAAAACTTGACTTTTACTTTTATAGGTTTTCTACACACATATACAAACACACATATTTTGTGCTTTTGCTTTATTCCCAAAATAACTTATTCAGATGATAATGAATGTTGTTTGACAACATCCATGAGAAACAGGGTCAACCTGGGACATAATAACATAATAAACATAATCTCCCAATGATCAAGAAGAGGTGATTCAAAGAAACAAACATTTGGAGCTCAAAATGTAAGTCTGTTCAAGAATAAAATTTCAGAGATATATATTTGTGGGGGTATGGGTCTCCTCAGCCTGCCTGCGCCCTTTAGCAGTCCAGGAGCCCTTGGAAGATGTCTGACTGGAGGAGTGGGCCTAAACCGCAGTGGGGCATCATTTGCGCTCCTACCACCACCACTGTGCTTATCAGTTGTCAACCCAGCTTGTGGCTGACCACCCCTCCCTCTACCCCCCCGGGAGTGCACTGATCACCAGGGGGCAGCTCCTGTGTTGAGTGTCTGCCACCTGATGGTCAGTGCATGTCATAGCGACCAGTTGTTCTGCCATTTGGTCGATTTGCATATTACCTTTTATTATCTTGGATCATATATATACTAGAGGTACCTCAGCCTGGCCTGCAGGAACAGGCCAAAACCAGCTCTCTGACATCCCCTGAGGGGTCCCAGATTGCAAGAAGGCACAGGCCTAGCCAAGGACCTCCATCAGTGTACCATCAGGGCCGGGAAGGGACACGGGACATTGGCCAGCTGGGGAGGGACTGCAGGAGGGCTCCAGGGCATGTCAGGCCCATCTTGCTCACTCCTGATCAGCTGGACCCCAGCAGCAAGCCAACCTACCGGTCGGAGGTTTACCCCATGGTGGTCAGTGCACATCATAGCAACTGGTCTACCGGTCAACTGTCTGCCCCTTGGTGGTCAGCGCACATCATAGCAAGTGGTTGAGCAGCCTTAGCATATCATTAGCATATTATGCTTTGATTGGTTGAATGGCCAACCAGACACTTAGCATATTAGGCTTTTATTATATAGGGTAATTTTTCATTATGCATTATGTTAATTTTGCCATGTACATTATCCTATCTAATAATAGACAAACATGGTAATTAACCATAACTTCGCTACCCTTCCCATTGGCTAATCAGCAGGATGTGCAAATTAACTGCCAACCAAGATGGCGGCCAGCGGCCATGCAGCTGAAGCGAACATGAGGCTTGGTTGCCCCGGCGATGGAGGAAGCCAAGGTTCCCTGCCTGCTGCAGCCCAGCTCTGAGCTCCAGATGCAACAATGTTGCAATTATAGAAGCTAAATAAACCCCAGAAACCTGCTTTCAGCTGCCAGCGTGCTCAGAGCTTAGAGCGCCAGTGATCGCAACAGAGTTTCAATTATAGAAGCTAAACAAACCCAGATACCTGCTTTCAGCCGGAAATGGCCTCAGAGCTGGAGCCGGGCCTCAGAGCTGGAGCCGGCTCTCAGCTCCAGTGACAGCTATAGAGGGTAAATAAATCCCAGAATTAAAAAAAAAAAAAAAAGAAAAAAAAAGAGGCTGGGAGCTTCATTCGCCCACCAGCCTGAAAACAGCCCTCAGCCCCTCATCCAGACTGGCCAGGCACCCCAATAGGGACCCCCACCGTCATCCAGGCTGGCCAGGCACCCAAGTGGGACTCCCACCATGATCTGGATCACCCTTCAGGGCAAACCAGCCAGCTCCCACCCCTGCACCAGGCCTCTATCCTATATAGTAAAAGGGTAATATGCAAACTGACCCTAACAGCAGAAAGACTGGGAATGACTGGTCACTATGACACATACTGACCACCAGGGGGCAGATGCTCAATGCAAGATCTGCCCCCTGGTGGTCAGTGCGTTCTCACAGGGGGAGCTCTGCTCAGCCACAAGCCAGGCTGATGGCTGCCAGTACAGCAGTAGTGGTGGGAGCCCCTCCCGCCTCCTCAGCAGCGCTAAGGATGTCTGACTGCAGCTTAGGTCTGCTGCCTGCTGGCAAGTGGACATCCCCTGAGGGCTGCCGGGCTGCCAGAGGGATGTCTGATTGCCAGCTTAGGCCCAATCTCCCGGGGAGCAGGCCTAAGCCAGCAGGTGTTCACCCCCGAGGGGTCCCAGACTGTGAGAGGGCACAGGCCGGGCTGAGGGACCCCCTACCCCCGAGTGTACAAATTTTTGTGCACCAGGCCTCTAGTATCCTATATAATAAAAGGCTAATATGCAAATAGACCAAGCAGTGGAACAACCAAACAACCGAACAACTGGTTGCTATGACATGCACTACCAGGGGGCACACACAGAACATGGCGGGCGTCAGCAGCAGGTGGCAGAGCACAGAACATGGCAGGCGTTGGCCGTGGCAGGATGGTCGAGTAGGTGAGCTGGGACGCCAGACCAAAGCAGGGCGCTGGTCATCAGGGCAAGCCTCTGGTGGTTACTGAAAATTCTTTACTCCTGTGCACCGCAGCCTGACCTGGTGCTTGCATTTGCTGCTGGCACCAACCCCGTTTGCACCAGCTGCCGGCCCCAGAGCTGCCACTCACACCTGTTGCCAGTGCCTGCTGCTGGCCCTGATCAGTCATTGCCGTCAGCTGGTGTGAGCAGCGATTGCGGGCTCCAAACTCCCCTCAGGGCTTCTCCACCTCCCTCTACTCCTAAGGGGCGATTGGGGCCAGCAGCCACCACTTGCTCCCACCAGTTCCAATTGCTCCACACCCACAGTGGGTGCGAGCAGGGCTGGCACTGTCAGCATGTTGGAGTAGCGGCCACAGGAGCAGGGCTTCTGGCAGACTGGGAACAGGGGGCTGCAGTGGGAGGGGATGGGCAGGGGCACGGAGGGTGGGCCGAGACCCATCCCTGTGCCCACTATAGCCTCACAGCCCACAGTTCCTTTCAAGGTGCAAGTATTTGTGCCCTGGGCCCCTAGTATTACATATTACTTTAATGTATAGGTTTCTAGCAAAGCAAATACCATTTATTTACTTATTCATTTATTTTTATCCTTGCCTGAGGATATATTTTTCATTGATTTTTTTTTTAAGAGAGTGGAGGGAGGGAACAGGGAAGAAGAGAGATGGACAAAGAGAAAGAAAAACATCAATGTGATAGAGAGACATTGACTGGTTGCCTCCTGCTCTTGGCCCTGGAGATCCAATCAGCAACCAAGGTGCTCTTAACTGGGAATCGAACCTAGGTCAGGAGGGCTGGTACTCTAACCACTGAGCAACCACCTGCCAGGGCACAAATAGCTTTTAAAAAGCTTTTTTTAAAAAATAAATAATTCCAGATGAATTTTTGGGAGTTTGTTCTAGGTCTGTGAAATATGCCATTGGCATTTTAATGAGGATTGCACTGAGTCTATAGATTGCTTTGGGTAGTAAGGACATTTTAATGATGTTGATACCACCAATCAATTAACATGGTATATTCTTCCTTTTGTTTATGTCTTCCTCTATCTCTTTTTTCAGCATCCTGTAATTTTCTGAGTACAAGTCTTCTACCTTCTTAGATAAGTTTATTTCTATGTATCTTAATTTTTTTGTTGCAATGGTAAATGGGATTGCTTTTTTAGTTTCTCTTTCTGTAAGTTCATTATTGGTGTATAAAAAAGCCATAGATTTATGGGTGTTAATTTAGTAACCTGCTACATTGCCAAATTAATTTATTAAGTCTAATAGTTTTTTGATGGATTCTTTAGGGTTTTCTATGTACAGCAGCCAATTCCTGAGAAAGAAGAACCAAGTAGGAGGGATCTCAATACCAGATATCAAGCTATATTACAAAGCCACTGTTCTCAAAACTGCCTGGTCCTGGCACAAGAACAGAAATACAGACCAATGGAACAGAACAGAGAACCCAGAAATCAACCCAAACCTTTAAGCTAAATTAATATTTGACAAAGGAGGCAAGAGCATACATTGGAATCAAGATGTCTCTTCAATAAATGGTGTTGGGAAAACATACATGCAAAAAAATACAACTAGACCACCAACTTACACCATATACAAAAATAAACTCAAACTGGATAAAGGACTTAAATGTAAGGCAGGAAAACATAAAAACCTTAGAGCAAACCACTGGCAGCAAATATCAGACCTTTGTTGCAGCAATACAGCTGATACAGCTCCTAGGACAATGGAAATTAAGGAGAAAATAAACAAATGGGACTACATTAAAATAAAAAGCTTCTTCACAGCAAAAGAAACCACCAACAAAACAACAAGGCAGC